AGAGTGACACTCATCTAATCATATAAGTCATATACACATGACTGGGTGATATTCGGAGATTAGGGTGAACACAATCAAACATTAGGCTTAGAAGAGTTGAAGCCTACTTCGATTACTCTCCAACTTTCAGACTGGAGTGTGAACATGCCGAAGGGCATGGTGGAAGATATATTGGTTCAAGTAGACAGGTTCTACTTTCCTGTTGAGTTTGTAGTTCTTAATACTATACCTGGTGCTAACCTTTTAGCACAAATTCTAGTAATTTTAGGATGGTCATTTTTAGCCACATGAAATGCATTGATAAATTGTCATAGTGATGTCATAAAATGTTCATTTGGAAATATGAATACTAAATTTAACATTTTTCATTTCGTTAAGTAACCAGGTGGTGAGGGAAAATTCTGTGAGGTGTAGGAAGTGGAAGAGATTGTAGAGGAAATATTGATTAAGTCTATTTGTTCTGACCCTTTGCAAGTTGGTTTACTTAATTCCATTTATGATAATGAGAAATCTGACACTATTTTTTATACTGATTTTCTGAATTCTTCACAAAAGTTGTGTAGGGATGAGAAAAAGATAAAAAAGAAAAAGTTCATTGAAGGAGCCAAGTCCCGATGGGAGTTGGGCAATGGGCAATTGGAGCCCAGATGATCCTTTTATCAAAAACAAAAAATTTTGTACATAATAGTTTTAGTTTTTATTTCTTTATTTTTTTTATGTAAAAAAATATTTTCTTTGTTTTTCAGTTAATTATTTTAGTTAGAAGATTTTCTCCATGTGTTTTCCTTCTCTTATCTTTTTTCATTTTTCTCATTACATTGAGGACAATGCATGACTTAAGTTAGGGGGTGAGGGTTACACCACTGAAAAGAATTCAAAAATTAAAAAAAAATATGTCTATTTGGATTTTATTGTTGTTTCTTATTGCTATGAAGTTTGGAATTGCTATTAGGAAACTCAGATTGATTACATAGTAGTACTCTATAGGATTTTATTCTATGTTTTAGTATCATACTTATGTTTATATTTGAAAATCAAAAACTATATCCACAATGAGCTTGTTAATTTTGGTGATTTATTGAATGATGTTTATATTTTGAAAAAACTTGACATCTATAATGGAGATGCATGGATTAACCTTTAAGTTTTGTACCTATCATTTTTGGAGGGTTGAAATACATTTACTCAAGAATATTTGTTTGACTTCAATTTCATTCAATAATCTCATTATTTTGCCTTAGTTAGGAGCATATGGGTGAATTAGTTGATTATATCTCTAGAATAAGCAACACTCTTTCATGCTTCCTGGGAGATGATTTTAGGTCATTCTTGATCTATTTGAGTCTTAAGCCTGTTCTTTCATTTATTTGACCTTAGAAACCGTGATTAAGGTTTAATGAATTTTCATTTCTTTGCTATGAATAATCACCAACCCAAGCTTAAAGATGTATATCTTACCTTTGTTATCCCTGAATGTGTATCTACTTGCTATATGTTGGGAATTATGGTGGAATGCTCAATTATGAAAAAAAGAAAAAATGTATAAGGATGACAAAATGATGAAGAAAAAGGTTTGAAGGAACTTTAGAAAAAAGTTAGAACTTTAAAAGAAAAGTCCAATTGTTGAAAAAAATGAAAAACAGAGTGTGTGTGAAAGCCAAAGGCTGTTTGAAGAAGAATAAAGGATATATGATTTTATGTTTTATCAAAAGAAGAATGTAAGGGGGTGTTTGGCATGGGAGGATTTGGTTGGATTGGATATTGATCTCAATCTCATCCAACTCAATCCAAAGTAATCCGGCCTATTCTAGATCATGTCAACATTATCCAATCCAATACTTGATTTCAATCCAAAGTAATCTAGCCTATTCTAGATCCTGTCAACATTATCCAATCCAATACTTGATTTCGATAGAAAAAATGGGAACCGTGGACCTCATGCACATGTTCAAATAAATCTAAATGAAATGATCATTGCACCCTTTGCAAGAAAATGTAATATAATTCTAAACTATGTTTGGATAGGTACATTGGGTAAGTAAAATTAGTTTGGATTAGTAATTTTTTTTTTTGGAAACAATGACTAATAACAATTTTGAATGCCATAAATTAAGTTATAATTATTTGAGTGTACACAATTTTAATATTTCAATATTGTTTTATCCGTTAGATAAACTACACAAGAAAGAACAATTTTTAAATTTTGTATTTTTGTTTCAACACATAATTTATGACAAAAATTGGAAAGGCTTCAAATGTAGACAGAGACAAAGAGGGGGAGAGAACAAAACAAAAAAACACAAACAAATATTTTAAACGATAAAAAAAAAAATTGTGCCCATTGTCGAACAAGGCCTACACGTCGAAAAAACATACGAGAGAGAAATCCATCTTACCCATAACAAATCCATAACAGCCCCAATTCACAAGTCTCAAATGCAAACACAATAGCCCCATTGCTTCTCCTGCCCATAACCAATGGCATAAACCCAAATGGGTCTCTCAAACCAACCATGGGGCTACTAGTATAATTCTTCCTATCTTATCGTGGCCAAGAAATAATTGAGCACAAAATCATAAATCTAGAAGTGTGAGCTTAAACGACGTAACCGGCAACTCCTCTCTCTTTGAAGACATAGAAGATACCCCCCCCCAAACACTGGTGACTAACAAAAGAAATTTTTCGTTCACGGCAACAATTCCGACACCTTATGGGTGTGCAAGGTAGAAGAGCATTTTGGGGGCGACAAAGAAGGGTTCGAGGGATGGGGATTTTTCGGGGGGAGAGAGAGAGAGAAATGGGTTTGGCAAAGAAATGGGTGCTTGCTCTTTCTTTCTCTGAGCCAAAGAAAGACAGAGCAAGCACCAGGAAAGAGACTGATAAGGAGAGAGAGAGAAGGAGAGAAGCATACCTACTTTTTCTTCCACAGTGCACCGTTAAGAGAGAGAGAGGTGAGACCAGTGGGTTGGGTGAAATGAATTGGCAGGAAAAAAAAAAGTTAAAAATACTAATCAACTGCAGGGGTGTTTTCATAAAATACCGATCAATCCAATCAACAAAACTTGAATCCCACATGTCCCATGGGTTACACATATCCGCTTCAGAAGGGATATTGGTTCCGATCTATTTGAATCCTACATGTTCCATGTATTCAATGCCAAAGATTATCCCACGTTATTTTGTGGATCCAAAGTTGGGTTTTGTGGGTCCTTGGATTATTTTATTCAATTTAACTTGTCTTATCCCCCTTTATCCCTCAAACCAAACACCTCCTAAGTATTTAATAAAAAATATGTCGATAGGATAACTTCTTTTGAATCCTCGTTACCCTTCGTTTCTTTATCCTTCACCAAAGGTTACATTACAACCAGACAAAGTCCTATATATTGATAAATCAATAGGTTCTAGGGGAATAGGAATCACAAGATGGTAACTTTTGGATTTAGGGTTGTGGTATGAACTATAAGGTTTAAGAGACAAGAATTTAGCTCACAAAAGAAATACCCTAGATTAGAAAACGCTCCCTCTATTTATAGGTTCGGAAGAGGGTTATCTTGGAGGCCAAGAAAACACAAATTCACGAGCAGACACTTGAGTAATGGGAGGGCGTCAAAGAAAAGTGGACACAGGAATGAAAAATTAATTCCAAACCGACATAGGAAAGCAAGACCGCTCGAGTGACCTTTGAGACCCCTACTTCTCCTCTGTTTAGCCTTTGTCCAATTGCTTTCTAAGTTATTAAGAGTCCGCTCTAGCGAAGGTTAGCAAACATAGGGTTATCCCAACTAGTTTTTTAAGACTAAAACCAAGCAAAAAATTTATCCACTTGATTAATAAAGGATGTTGTTCAAGAGAGGTCCAATAATGACTCAAATCTATGTTTTCAAAACATACAAAAGATTTAGAATTTTTTTTTAAGAACACCTAAGAGTTATACTAAAATTAATTACCGATTCTATTTTAACACTAATCCTCCTAAGCCTATTAAACCAAATGATCATCTTAGGTTTCTAGGTCATTACTTTGTCCTACGTAAGAAGGTGCATATAAAGTACTTTTGATATAGGTTTGACGCATGATCTCCTCTTTTTAAATGGCACTTTCGTATCTTCATCGTTATAACATCATGACAATGGAATAGGCTAAGATTTACAAGAATTTTACGAAATCAATCAATTACAAAATATGATCAAACACTATTTTGAACATCCTGTGGTAGCACTACTCCGTTAACGTTATCATTGAAAGGAAGATATAGCTTAAATTTTTTACCTACTGTTAGAGTCAAGTTTTCACTCATTATCAATATCGTGATTCTTCCCTCGAACAATTATTATGTTTATATTGTAGAAGCAGATCCAACCAACTTGCTTTCGTAGGTTATGTTCGAACAATTAAAGCATATAGTTTTGGATTTTGTAAATAATGTTGTGAGTAGTTATCAGTTCTGATTTTTGTTAACATATTTATCCCTTATCTTTTTAAGGAATTATATTTAATTTTGCTTCTCTGGGCCCTTTGAATTCTCTCCATTCTTAATGGTGACCTGTTGGCCCGTGACATGGCTTCTCGGCTACACCACACGGGTACCTTTCTGTAGAGCTGGCCCAACTTAGCCCAAAAAACTTGATTGTGGGGCCTTCGAGAGGTTTGGGCCCCCGATCCTCAAGAATTGAAACAGAGTCATATGTTTTTAAATTTTTGAGTTATCTAAAAAGATTCATTCAGGTTGTATTTAAATATGTTTAGTCCTTTCATTTTGCTTCACCAAAATATTATTAAGCTCTTAAAGCATAATCATGTAGTGATGCAACTAGTTGTCAGCTATATTATTTACTAGGGATAAGTCGCGTCTAAAGACACGGTGCAACGTAAATCAACGGTTAATTATAAGTAAGCAATTATTATTTTATCGACCCAAAACCTCGCTAATTGATCTTTACGGTGCTTACTCTGTCAATTAGCTCCTTTATCCATAAAATAAAGTCCACTTATGCAGCAGCAAAGGCTTCATCGAAAGACCCCCGGCTACTGGGTCAGATTCCTCATCAAGGATTTTTGAACTGGTTCATGCTAAAATCTATTCCCAACCTTTACTTGATAGGGTTATTTCACCGGCTAGGGTCCCTCAATCAATCGAGAAGGTGAATATTAGTAGTCGTTAAATAAATCTATTTGAAACCGTCGATTGAACTTATTGAAATATGTTATTTTTTATATTATAGATATTAATTACTAAAAATAATTTGTTATCCCAATTTCTACTTAGACTCAATTTATGATGTTAAAATAGTAAATTTTAATTTGAACAATAAAATAAGAACTGTAATAAGGATCTTTTTAAACTTAAGTATAAATCTAAATTTCAACCCAATAGATCTATTTAAGTTTAAATAGATCCTTATTACAGTTCTTATTTCCAGGATCTAACTTAGGTATAAATCTAAATTTTAAACTTATATCCTGGAAATTTTTTTGGACAAATAGTAGTTTGTAAAGATTAAATTTTTTAAATTTATATCTTTAAAGATTAATTATTTTAAATTATACCCTAATAAAATTTATACGAACTATTACAATTTTCGTAAAAATAGTATTGCAATGTGAACCCTAGTCATACAATCTATTGCAATTTTCATGAAATTCATAGTCATGTGAGATGCTCATGATAACTTTTGTTAGATTATGACAAAAATCGTAAAAGATGTTGAGTCACATTTCTATCAATTTTATTGAGGGTATAATTTAAAATAATTTAACTTTAAAAGTATAAATTAAAAATTATATAATCTTTTATGGTTCAAATTGCCATTTTCCCAATGTTTTTTTTTTTTTTTGCCAAGGTTGAGAGGTTGACCCCTCCACCACCCTCATTAAGCCACCACGAATACAATCATCACCATAGCATAAGCCAATACCATCCACCGCCGCTCAGTTCACCGTCGACGAAATGACGAAACGTTCGGTGGACGACATCGGAACAGTATTGGAAACCGGCAAGAAGCCCGTCTTCCTCACCAAAGCGGAGCGCGAAAAACTAGCCCTCCAACGCCGAGATGAAGAAATTGCCGAACAGAAACGCCGTGCTCAACAGCCCCTCCCACAAAACCGACCATCCCCATACCCCTCCGACCGCCACCGTGACCGTGACCGTGGTCGAGAAAGAGAAAGGGAAAGGGAAAGGGAAAGGGATCGCGACTCGGAGCGGCGGAACCGGGAGCGAGAGCGCGAGGAAGAGCAAAAGGTTCGGGAGCGAGCTCGATTGGAGAAATTGGAGGAGCGAGAGCGAGAGAAAGAGCTCGATGCGATTAAAGAGCAGTATTTGGGATCCAAAAAGCCGAAGAAACGGGTGATTAAGCCCAGCGAGAAGTTTCGTTTCTCATTCGATTGGGAAAACACTGAGGACACCTCCCGTGACATGAATTCCCTCTATCAAAATCCTCACGAGGCTCGCCTCCTGTTTGGTCGAGGGTTTCGTGCTGGAATGGATCGAAGAGAGCAAAAGAAGCTCGCCGCTAAGAATGAGAAAGAGCTGAGAGACGAAATTCGGAAGAAGGATGGAATTGAGGAGACACCTGGGGAGGCTGCGGCGCAGAGACTGAAAGAAGAGGCGGCTGATTTGTACGATACTTTCGATATGAGGGTGGATCGCCATTGGTCCGAGAAGAAGCTCGACGAAATGACTGAGAGAGATTGGAGAATTTTTCGGGAAGATTTCAATATTTCATACAAGGGTTCTAGGATTCCTCGGCCTATGAGAAATTGGACTGAGAGTAAGCTGCATCCAGACCTACTCAAGGCGGTAGAGAGAGCCGGTTACAAAACTCCATCTCCCATTCAAATGGCCGCGATTCCACTTGGATTGCAGCAGCGTGATGTGATCGGCATTGCTGAGACTGGTTCAGGTAAGACTGCTGCATTTGTTCTTCCTATGCTGACTTACATATCTAGACTCCCTCCGATTCAAGAAGAAAATGAGGCAGAGGGGCCTTATGCCGTTGTGATGGCACCTACTCGAGAACTTGCGCAGCAAATTGAGGATGAGACTGTCAAGTTTGCGCATTATATGGGTATCAAAGTCGTTTCGATCGTTGGTGGCCAGTCCATTGAAGAGCAAGGGTTTAGGATTAGGCAAGGGTGTGAGGTTGTCATTGCCACACCTGGGCGTCTAATTGATTGCTTGGAGAGACGTTATGCTGTTCTGAATCAGTGTAATTATGTCGTTCTTGATGAGGCTGATAGAATGATTGATATGGGTTTTGAGCCACAAGTCGTGGGCGTCTTGGATGCAATGCCTTCGAGCAATTTGAAACCAGAGAACGAGGATGAGGAGCTTGATGAAAAGAAAATTTATAGGACCACCTATATGTTCAGTGCTACCATGCCACCTGCTGTGGAGCGGCTTGCAAGGAAGTACTTGAGGAATCCTGTTGTTGTGAATATTGGCACGGCCGGAAAGGCAACTGACCTAATTACACAGCATGTGATTATGATGAAGGAATCAGAGAAAATGTTTAGGCTTCAGAAATTCCTGGATGATCTTGGAGATAAGACAGCAATTGTTTTTATAAACACTAAGAAGTCTGCAGATAATGTTGCAAAATCCTTGGATAAGGCGGGTTATCGTGTGACAACTTTGCATGGTGGGAAGTCGCAGGAACAGAGAGAAATTAGTTTGGAAGGTTTTAGGACCAAGAGATACAATGTACTGGTTGCAACTGATGTAGCTGGACGTGGAATTGATATACCTGATGTGGCCCATGTCATTAATTATGATATGCCTGGAAATATTGAAGCATACACACATCGTATTGGACGAACAGGTCGTGCAGGGAAGACTGGTGTAGCCACAACATTCTTGACTCTGCATGACTCTGATGTCTTCTATGATCTCAAGCAGATGCTTATTCAGAGCAACAGTCCTGTGCCGCCTGAATTAGCAAGACACGAGGCTTCAAAATTCAAGCCGGGAGCAATTCCTGACAGACCACCTAGGCGCAATGAAACGCTTTTTGCTCATTGAAGCAGTCATCCAACAATTGTGCTATACTAGGGTGTTTTATTATCTGAGACTTAAAGCGATATCTACTGCTAGGGGATTTTAGGAGCTGGACATGACTCAGGATTTCAATGTATTAAAAGTGGTAAACAATGTTATCATTTCTTTGGTATTATTGCTTCCGCGCCATTACTAACATACATCCAGGAGCATATTCAGTTTTATTTTGGTTGAGTGTTTTTGAGGTTCCATGCAAACTAGAAGCATATTCATAGATATTTTAGTCAAGTAATTATGTTATCTTATCTCCAGCTGTGCTGGTTTATTTGTCAGTAATTCACCTCAAGAGGGATACATCCTCTCACTATTTACTTTCTTAACATTCTTATGTTTCTATTTTATCATCATTTTATATGACGTGTTCAATTGTCTTACAAACGCATACATATTTATACCGGTATATGTAAGTGCAGCAATTGTTTCATGGTGCTTTGGTGTCCATTGCATTGTTGAACATAGAAGTTACCTGTTCCTTCTCGTGTCTTCTTTATCTTTGCTTAGACAATATGGAGCTAGGGTAGAAGGAATATATGATGCAAATGATGCAGCTTTCTGAGTTTTGCTTTGTAGAATTACTTACAACAGGCTGGGAAAACTTGAATCTCAATATTTTTACTGGTTCATCTTTTGTGTTTTTGGTTGGTTACTTAGAATATTGGAATAGCTTATTGTATTAGATGGGTATTCACACCAGGTGCTTGGCAGGGGATCCTATTTGTTTGACATACAGTTTATAGTTTCTTGTAAGCTCGTAACTTTGATAGTTTCTTCCTTTGTGGTGAAGTGGTTGGGAAAATGTACTATAATTTTCATTGCCTTCGTCGAGCAACGAAGAAACAGATACCCCTCCCTTTTCCATGTTAAAAAAATTAAATGAAAAATATATAGAGAAAGCTTTGTCTCTTTCCCCTGTAGCAATATGCAACTCTCATCAGGATCTGGTTTATTGGAATAAATAATAAACTGGAGACTATACATTTTATGTGCAACCATGCTCAATTTTTTCTGTTGTGTCGTGCTCCGCTTATTGGGAAATAGGTTTTTTTTTTTTTTTTCTTTCTTCCAGACCTACTCCCTATGCTGAGGTGCATCTTGATTTTTGGATTCCTCCCTTGAAGAATTTGTGAAGACTTCAACTTTGTTGCACGTCTGGCACTGATGTTGTGAGACATATAAATTCTGGTGTTAATGATTATTACTACATTAGGTTTCTCAGATAAGCAAAAAGCATGAGACCACATGGAACAACTAAATTATTTGTAAAGGGACCATTGATCCTTCCAGGAGCATTTTGCATTCCGTCTGTGCTTGTTAGCTGCTACTTTTGGGTCTAAAGCTCACAAGCATAAAGTCAGGCAATGGTAGATTGTTGGGCCTAATTTTTGCTATTATCAAATTCCAACTGCCCCATTTTATTTTTCTGCTAAGTTATATTATTGCAGTTGGTATTTATTTGTTGAACCTGTACTGCAAACATGTAACAGCTGAACATCTGCCTGCTTGTATTTATGTTTATCTGATGGTTTATGAGGGTCTGCCTGTTTCTGTGCTTTTATGCAATTCTGAATTGAAGAGAGACCAATATTTCAGCAGAACTCGTGTGTATTAGTTGTTTCTTGCGACAAAAGAACTAGAAATCAAAGAATAGAAAAAGAAGAATAAAGAATAAAGGTGAAAGGTAATGTCATTAAATATTGAGTTTAATGTCTTGCTACTGGGGAGTTTAATGTCATTACCTCTTGATTCCCGCCCTTCAGAATCTATCGAAGTTTTGGCCCGGCATATCCATGACCTACATGTCGACATAAGACAAAAAAATTGTATTAAGTAATGAGAATTATAAATTAGCTACTGATGTTCACCATATGAATAAAGCATTTAATGTGGAAGATTATGTCATGGTTTGTGTGCATCTGGAATGCTATTCTAAAAGTTCTTTCAAAAAGTTACATGCTCGAGCCATTAGCCTTTTTCGTACTTTTCGTATGCTTAGACCTAATTTATATCACCTTAACTTACCTTCGAATATTAGTCCTATTTTTAATGTGGAAAACTTATTTCTTTATCGTGGTACTTTTGAACCTCTCATGTTGACAGTAGGTGTTCCTACAAGTGGAGTCGCTTCATCTTCAGCATCACCTATGGTTCCAATTCTTCCAGCATTTTCGCTACAAATGCATGACCAGATTGCAAATGCCCTTGAGGATTAAATTTTTAGCTCATTTGATGCTTTGTGGATTACTAAGGAGTTTCGTTATCTTGACCCTGATCTTCTAGAGTATTTTCACCATCGTATCTCTCTTTAGGCGAGTTTTATTCAGTCGGGGGAAAATGATGAGAATCAGATTTTCTTTCGTTATTGTAGGTGTAGACGTAGGGATTATGAGTTATTTGTTATTTTATTTTTTGGGACTAATTTGTTATTTTGATTGTTTTTGAGACTTATATGTCATTTGGATTATTTTTTGAACTTAATTGTTTTAGGGTTTGTATTCTCTCTATATATATATGGTTCGAGGTAGGCATTGACCATCTCAATTGGGCTTATTAAATGGGTATGACTTGGTTTAATGATAAACAGGTTTTGTGTTATGAGCTTGGGAATGTACTCGGTCGGTTTGTTACTTTTGGTTGATTGTGTTGGCCTGACCGAAGAAATAGACTGGACCGAATAAGGGTTTGTCATAATTTGTTTACTAGTAATTGGGTTAACTAAGGTGGAACTAAAGGTGCAATGGGTAATTGACTAAGTTTTGGACTTGGGCTTGACAAGGCAAGCTACCTACTTTGGTGTTTATTGAAGGTAGGGAGCTTATCAGATTTCTTATCTTCCATTATGATTTTGTAGAAATTCACAAGTAAGAAAATCAGGAATTAAATTTTTACTACCTTTAATATATTCAATATCAAATCGAAAATAATTGAAATATATTGTCATCTAGAAAAAATCTGTTTTGTGACACCCCTAAAATCGGGGGTTCTTTATCAACCGCTGATCACCCATCAATACGCAGAAGTATCTGTGATCGTCGCACAACCCGACATCATGTCATTAGCATCCCCTTAACTGCGATCACAAAACACAAAGTTTGGGTAGAGTTCCGGGCACTCTCAAATGCATAATCTGTGTACATTTAATCACATGACCCAGCCGAAATCCAATATACCACATTTTATACTCTATTATTGTCCATTTACATCATTTGTATAAAAGGACACAAAGCCCGAAAGCATGCCAAATTATTCTTAAAATTTCAGATTTTTGAAAAACCTACTAGTAGGTTTGTCACCATCCTACTGGGTTTTACGTACTGAAAAATTTCTATCATAGAAAAAGTGACGTTTTACCAGTAGATTTTGCCTACTAGACTACATCTACCAATAGGTATGCTAAAAACCTACCGGTATGTGTGTCTAGAATTGCCTGTTTCACTTGTTTTTTATTTTCAATCTACTTCAATCCATTTCATATTTATCAAACACGTGTAATGAAGTTTTTCACATTAAACATGGTCAATTTCAAATTCTATGACATTCATTCCCGTGAATTTACATGCTAAAACTAAGTGTCCATAGTGATTTTACAAAAACTCAAAATAAAGTCACATCTCAACTTTTCTTCATCCTTAAGGGCCCGATTGAGAACCGTGTACCGGTGTATATCCCGCACCTGAAATATTTTTCCCATAAAATGTGAGTCATGCTCAATAGGGTATCTCCTAAAGAGACTATTCTCCAACCTAGATGCATATTAAATGTTCACATGCAACATTTAACAAACAATAATCATTTTAATCAAGAATATGCAATTCAATGTTAGAAATCACCATGTCATGCCAAGAAATAAGATGAGAGTCACTCATGAACTTCAACCCGAGATTTTGCCGGCTCCCTTCACCCATGCAATTTCATGAGCACAAACTGGGCTTTCTAAGTCCCCATCACTGACGTTAATGACTATTTAAAATATTCAAATCTTTTTTGGGGTGGGTATTTATGGACTTACACCAACAGACACCCAATCGATGCAGAATTTATAGACTTCCACCAACAGTTCCGCGTACACTGACACACTTTATGGATTATACACCAACGGAGTGCGTATTCAATCATCGGGTCTCTCATCTTAGGGATAGTCTAACCCTTCTTGGTAACCCCGACCCAATTTTCAATGCAAACATGCGACTTAACCGGATCTTCGATCCAACTTTCTTGAACCCACCCATCATCCGCCAAGTATGGTGTTAGATGACAACCATGCACACACACCAATAAAATACGATGTCTCTGTGCACATGCAATGTAATGCACAATTGTAAAATAACAATCATGTCTAATATGCTATGAATGTTGTATGGACCAAATCCATCCCATTTTAACATATACCATGATCAATTATATCATATGCATATAATCACCATAATTTATCACAATTTCAATACATCATCAACATATTTCAAAAAAAAAATAATTCTCAATCATGTTATTTCAATTTCATCAAAACAACATATCTCACTTATTCATGGCATATTATCAAACACCCAACAAGGCACAAATTTCATGTAAACACATAATGTGCCCACGATTCCACATTTCTCAAGAAATTATCACAAGTAGCTTCCACATATCAAACTCAAGCTAAAAATTGGTTTTAGATCACTTCTATACCCATTTCCGCATTTCAACAACAATAGACAATTGTTAATGTATTTAACAAACTACCCACCTCATACAAACACCCTAGGTTGAAAATAAACTTAAGTAGGATGAAACTCTACCTCTTGAAGCATAAAACGACGTTGGGAAGCTTCAAGAACCCAATTCAAGCTAGAATCTTCACTTTTCCCAAAATCCCGTCCTTGAAATCTCGCCCAAACCCGACCTTTTTGGTATGGTTGCAGAGCCCTCGAAGAGAAGAACAACTTTTCTTCTTAGGTTGTGTTGATTTGAGCAAAGCTTGGCCC